AATGAAGGTCCCTCTAACAATGTTATCTCAGGAGATTCATTGAAACCCAGTTTCTCTTCGTATCTACAATGATTCATAACTGTTGTTGACATTTATCTTTAGTGGTTTCACTTATTTATGTGGCTTCAGTAATCTATAGGCTATTGGTGATCGTGAATCCTTTCTTGATTGTGAATATTTCTTCAATCCGTCTATTTATCCGTTCCTATGCATATCTTTAATCATATCACGATGTATTTCACTGACCTCCATAGTTGGGTCCTTCTTTAGAACACGATACGTGGCACTAACTCGTAGTATAATTTCTATTTTCTCTGTGCATTGTTTGTTGGTTCCTATGCCAATATTCTTGGGAGTATTTTATTTTCATTTCCTGTTTTACCTCCACAGGGAATTTGTCGGATATCTTGATGACCTTCATAAGGATGTCTTCTAAAATGTATCTTTCATATTGGATATAAAAATCCAGCCCTTTGATTAATATAAAGTAGTTTCGGAATTCAGAAGAATGGGGGATACATTGACCACTTCACCTTTATCGTCGAATTGGTCAGTAGATGTGGTCACTTCGGAAACTGCATCAACTGGGCGCACTGGCTTCAAGTTATGCTGCTTTAAAATCCCATTTCCAAGCTATTTTTGTTGTCTTTTTAAAATTAAGTTTGAGAACCTTCACGATTTCTTATCAGCCACGCTCCGAAGTCTTTTAAAATCCTCCTGAGTAAAAATCCTAACTAAATGCCGGCAGAGCTTTGATTTAAGACCTACACACTTAAATAACTTATTTCTTATCATATCATAAGCTTCGCCTAACTTCTGAATGCAGGCATCGCGTAGAATCTCATTAACCTTGTGGGGATTTCAATTTCATGATTAGATCACAGAATCCATCAATGATAGCATAACGTTCAAGATGCAGAAAGAGACCAGGGTACATCTTTAGAGGAGTAGAATATAAAAAGTTAGATATTGTAATTGAGAGGGAGAGAGATACGAGGATAGGAAGTAGGTAGAGGCATAAGACATAAGAAGTGATAATATAACCGTTCGGCATAAAGTTAGTCACTTCACTTGTCAATTTGATGAGTTGTAGCTTGGTGCTAGGAATAACAACTCACTGAGAATGCGGAGGAAACGTCTGGGAATGTGCAAAGACCACTGCCAAATGCTAAAAATTATCATAACCCCTATAGCAGAGGACTTCGGACAAAATGCGGTCAACTGGGTCGCCTTGACAACACAACCAAGTTGCGAAAACGAGGTCAAAGCATTTCTATACTGTGCTTTACCATACTCCGTGATCAAAACAGTATATAAAAGCAGGTCCGGTTAGAATCCTTTTAAAGAAACAATGAGATCGCCCTTGGAAGTCAGCTCTTTGGGATGCATGGGAAAATTAAATTCCGTGCATTAAATAAAGCATTCGTCTCATCTTTGGGCAGACCCCTTCGGCCCCTAAGCCTCGTTACTAAGCCCCGACTATCGCATTGTCCTCGTTGCTTATTAAAGAGAAAGAATTACGCGTAAACTATGCAGTATCGTTGTTTAGCGAATGACTATGATGTCAGTATTTGCACTGAAGGAGATAAATCAGTTTATTTAATTTGATATAGAATGGACCTAGGAATTAGGTTACACCGCTTATGACTAGTTGGTAATTGTAGGAATATTAGAGAATGATATGAAATAATAATAAAATAGATAGATATGAAGACAAAGATGATCCTCGGTATGGTCCCATCAAAGCCTCTGTAGAAAAATGGATACCGAAATATCATAATTAGTAGAACACATCGCACAGACTAGACATGAGATCAAGTGGAAAGCAATATAAAGAATGGCCTCATATAGTGAAAACACAAGGAAGTGGAAGATTAGGGAGACCGTTAACATATTTGGGGATAATAATCGAATAAACAGGAGATTGGAGGAGGGTAGAGTTAGCGATAACTTTGCCTAATGCTTAAGCAAACTAGGTAAAAAATAAGAATACAGCAGAACCAGCAAAAATGATACGCCTGGATCAAGGATCTATCGCTAACCGGAGGAAAAGGGATCGCGATGAGAAAGGGAGGATTTCGGCAATCAGGCGAAGATGTTGTCAGTGAGCAATGTCTGTTCGAATAAACCAGTACAACTTTGGGGGCATGAGTCAGGGAGCTAAACAGATGAATAAGCAAATCGTCACAAAAATTGGCGTTATTACCAAAACGTACTATAAATCCACTTGAGATGTCGCATGTGACCAGAGATAGGCGTCCACAGTTTGCTCAGGTTACACAGGTTTAATTAAGGAGACGACCCGCGAAGGCAATGCCTGAGATCTGCAAGCATGACAATCAGAGCCTAGAAACTCTGCTCGGTGAGTCGGCAGTGTACGTAATTCTGGGGCCTTGAAAAATAGCGCCTGGAGCGAAACGCACACTGGAACTGGAACCGAGTGAAATCGGCCAACCAGAAAGATAAGGAACAGATCTAAGGGACAATTAGGGGATCCGGATTGTAGGCGCGAGTTGGATCAGCCGATAGAAAAAGAGGATGCCAGGGTGAATAGCAGATGTGATGAGGCCACACTAGATTTGTCACAATAGGGCACACATTTTGACGAGTGGAATGTAAACAAATCAGAAGTTATGATTGGACGGGAGTTGGATTAGAGGGTAAAGAGTAGATAGATAGGCCAGGACAGAAAGATGAATGATAGTGTAACCTTTTTCGGCATAACGTTTATCGGAGGATTGACTTCACTTTTCTCTTTGACCAGTTCGTAGCTTTGTGCGGAGAATAGCAGCATTCACTGATGCTACAGATTACGATGCCGGCGAAACATCTGGGAATGTCCCAAATCCACGGTCTGATGCTGGGAATTACGATAACTACTATGGCTGGGGACTTCGGACAAGATGCGTTCAACTAAGTCTCCCTGAAAACAAGACCATGTTGCGAAAACGAGATCAACACACTTTAATAAAATAGAGTCAAATATCTCGAAGAGACAGGACACAAAGTGGCTGTGAATACAAGGTCTGATATAAAGGTCAATTGACGCGATATATGAGAACGCATTTAAAGATAAGATAAGAGAGAATAAAGCAAATATCTAAAAAAGAAGCAGTAGCAAAAAGAATCGACCATAGTGCAGTAGAAGGGGAAGAATGGATGATTAGGTAAGACAAACACCTTTTGGTCCTTCTGAATAAATAGATTAAATTAGATGCTGAAAAACCAAATAACTCGAAAGAGAGCAACGTCATTGCGTAGGAGGTAAGTGGGGACTTGCCTGTACATCCCCTCGAGAAAAGGCCTGCAGAACTCGCTGTCGCTTAACAACAGGCATCCCGCCTGACAATTCCGACGCTCCGATACCGGAGAAGCCACGAGCAAGCAGCACCGTCAATCTGTGAACAGCTTCGCGTGAGTTGGCGAAGCAGAGGATTCTGCGCATCTGGCGGATGCGGACGAGATAGACCAGGAAAAGGATACGCTGCTGCGGTGAGACTCGAACGTAGAACTCCTGAAGCATTTTCAGTTTAGTCGGGAAATGTAAATGAAACAAACAATGATGACTTCAAGAGGGTTGATTGAGCCCAGACAAACAGAACCCTTAATGTGGAAGCTTCCATTTCGCATGAAAGTGTATGATGAAGATATTCGAAAGGCGATTTCACCAGAAGACGACGCCTGATTAGCGATGTACCGTAGTCGTTTAGCCTTAACACGACACTCACGTTGACGCAATCCGTGAAATATCCTCCCTCGTCTCGGGCGAAAACAAGCTGATCTTACGTCAATTATTTAATGGAAATCATCAAAGCTGAAATTCATCTTTGTAAAGGTCTCAAGTTAACACTAAGCCAAGAAGACTTTCATACGAAATAGAAATCTATGCAACGCTATCTAAGGAGATTCATCGAACGCCGTTTTTTTCGTATATAAAACAGACTCGTTAAGTCGTTCTAAGATTTAGGCTAGATCTATCGCAGCCAAAATTTACAGATCTGTAGAAATGAGAGCACGGATTCCGTCGTGAAAAGTTCCAATTTCCTTCTGATGAGATAGGCTGAGCAACCAAAGTAAAGCTACGTTGTGTCTCAAAGGCTCGATAAGCAGAGAATTGCTGAAGCGGTGGACAGGACATGTATATGGAGAAGCGTGGAGTGTATTTGCTATCGTTAGAACCTAGACCTACAATAAGGCTACCAGAAGCCAAAAAGCCCGTTCGGATAAAGCTTAATGCCATTTTAGTTGTTTTTCCATTAGCATAAGACAGATGGGCTTTTAAAGCCTAGCATAATAAAGGAGACGACTAGCCCGACGCACATGTTGATCATCATTTTGTGACAATGTGTGCCATTATCACAAAGGCAGGATGCCTTCAACTGCCCTGGCTTGGAACAATGGGGAGCTTATGCCGAAACTCACGGTTATTCAGTATAAGCAATCGAAAACAAACTATTAGCTAGCAAATAATATTTTTTCAATTTACAAACAATAAAATCAAATATAATGGCAATATCCTAGCAATTCGTGAGAAAAGTGTAGCTCCATTAATAGCAATAAACGTGAGAGATTTGGCTACCTAGAAGGTCCAATGTTGCCGTCTAAGAAAAAAATAACTACTTGAAATAAAGGCCTGAGATGAAATTATGTCGAAAGAATACCCAGTCATAAATAATAATAAATTATGAACAAAATAACAACAGAAAGAAGAGTTAGTTTCACCACATTTCGTAATTTGATTGGGGTCACATAGATATCATGATGAACTCACAAAGTCATTGTAATCTGCCGCAGCAGTCATGGTATTATCAAAGCTAGAACCGTTGACTTAGTGCATTCTCAAACATTTAGCCAGTATCGTAAATGAGAAGCGGCACTTTTAGCATCTTGTTGAAGTAACAAGGCAATCATCTTTACCAAGTTTCTGTTCAATTATTGTGGTATTTTAATTCCTTATTCTTGCTTCTAGCGCAACATCCTCATTCCTAAATCTCAATTTGCTTATTCTAATATTTCCCAAATGCCTGCCTATCTAAGAAAATGTAATGAGAAGTAATCACTTCCATCACCGGTTTCACATCCAGTCTGCAGGGATTCCTGATCCCAAGCGATACCTCACTCGGCCCACCTCGCTCAGCTGCTATCAGCTGCTCTCTCTAGTTCCATCCGAATTGGCTGTCTATAAGCGGCCAATTTTGGCCATCGACGATTTATTGGCATGAATGGCCCCAAACGTATAAACAAACGCGTATGCATGGTTTGATGCACATCTCATTGAAGATGATGAATAGGAGTCTGGTGAGACCTGTGGGAACGTACCGAATCAACGAAAATTATTGTGGCTACTCTGGCAGAAGACGCATGGTCTGGTGCGTTATTCACGGTACAATTGTCACCCCAAAAGAGTAGAGAAGACGAGGTCAACCAAATCATTGCGACAAAAAAAGACTGTGACCAAACCAAAAGCTAAATAATGTCGGAGTTCATATCTAAAGATAAAAGACCCAAGAGATCGTAAACATGACAGAAAGGAAACTCGTGATCCGAAAGAAGTGGATAGAAAGAAGATCAAAATAAAGGAAAATAGAGGAAGATTTCAAGCAATATGTCAACTTTCCTAATAGACTGTCAAAAAGCTTCGAAACTATTGAAGAAATAAACATACTATAATCAGAGAAAGTTGGTTTTAGAGACTATAAGTAAATCATGAATAAGGGTTTCAGTCACCCTCGGTCGTTTAACGCAGAGGATTGTTGCATATGTTGGTTTCTTATAAACAACTCTTGCCAACTTGTCATCTGCCATAACAACCATAGCATCCAACAAGGGACATCGCTTATTCTATTCTAATTCCATTGTAAACCTAATATATCTTTAACGATGGTTAGGTAAAACTACGAAACTAGCTAACCTGTCCATACCATGCTGACAAATGATAAAATCGTCAATCATATATCCAACAAACAGTTTCAGAGTCTGAATTACCTCATGCATTAAGTACTTCTCAAACTCTGCCATGTAGTGTCAAAATCAGTGCTAAACCATAGACCATTGTAGGTCCTTGTGTCAAAGGTGAAATAAGTACTACTCATGAATAGATTAAGAATTCTTAGAATAGAGGCAATGTTCGACTTAATTCCCTCCACAATCTCTTAATGCTCCTCCAGGATGAAAATTAGAGCATGAATGGCCTCCTGAACTGGAATATTTGTGTACATCGATACTAGATCAAAACTTACTAGTTTGTCCTCCACCGGAATTCTCTGCTGACCAAAGAATTAAAAAATGCATGAGTTCTTAACCGAAAATAATCCAAATTCGGTCACTTTTGTTAAATTTCTGCACCAGTTCTTCCCAAAAGCTTATCTTAACCAGAAGTGAATAGGGTTTAGACCTCGTCTGGGTCTCATAAGCACCCCCAATCGAGGTGCTTATCAAAAGATATTCGCATCAAACGCGGATTTCAGTTTCGCTATCGGCAGGATAATTGAAATATAATGGACGCGTGGGACTTAAATAAATTATTACGGGAAAATTCAACTTCAACCTTCACCACCACCTCATGAGATGAATGCGAATAGAACTTTTATTCAAGATTTACTCGTAGTCACGAAATCTACTTGAAAATA